GCCCCTGACCCACAAACTGCTGAGATGAAAAGCGGGCTCTTTGCTGCTCTGCTGCAGACTGCAAAGGCCCTGAAGGACCAGAGATGTCCCCAAATCAAGGTATCTGTACATTTGGTCCAGAAGCTGAATGGGGTCAGGTGATGGCTAGAACGTCAAGTATAAAGGCTGTGCGTTAACACACGTACAGGTTGTCTGGTATTTCCTGCAGGGCTTCATTATAACAGACTCAGCATCCTTAAATATGGGTAATTTCTTGCTGGTTTGCAGCTGCCCAGCAGAAATAAAGCAAAAGGCTTGAACTGCACTGTGCCCACAGCCTCAGCCAGGCAGCACAGCACAAGGGCAGAAGGTTATTTAGCGATCAATAAATAGGTGAAACCATTTTGTAAATCTTTGAATCTTTAAATCTTTGAACTTCTAATTCGCAGGGGTGGCTGGACTATCACCTCCATCTCACCCTCTTGCTCTAGGAACTGTCCCTTCACCAGTGACCAGTTTTCAAAGTGTTGATCTAGTTGGTGCAGCCTTGGCTCTTCCAGTGGGCTGGAGGGGAATTTGTCTCCAACTCTTTTTATATTTTATACTCACTAGCAATAATGGAATTAGACATTGAGGAATAATTTACCTCAGTGCAAGGCTTCAATGACACCTCGCAACATCATTTTCAGTTTCAAGAAGGATTATAGCAAGTTAAATGGCACTTCCATCTCTATGTCATGTGAACCTTTTCTATGTCATGTGGGTCCAGCATTGCTGGAAGAAGGAGTTTGAAAGAACAAAGGCAGCAAAGCCACTTGGGGAGGCTGACAGAGCAAAAGCAATGGGTTCAGATGCTTCTGTTATGCATTTTAAAGTGGAGAAGCAGCAATGAAATTCCTCCTGGAAACAGCAGATGGATCAGGGCACAGACACCCCTGCCTCGTGCCAGGGATGAAGATCTTTTTTGCCTCCTCCAGCGGGAAGAAAATACATTTCAAGCATCAGCAGTGCTGCTTAGAGTCCCATCTGCCAGAGCAAAGGGGCTCTGGAAGAGGGAAGGTCAGTGTGCAGAAGAGCAGTGCAATACCCTGCTGCATGGCTGTGCCTGCCCCATCAATGGGATGTGCATCCCTGCCTGCCTGGGTGGTCTGGGGCAGAACTCTGCTCTGGGTGACCCACCTGGGCTTTGCTTGTGACCATCACATCAGCAAATTAGTAGGAGCATCATATGGCCCATGGCACTTGGTCATCGTGCAGACTGGCAGCCTGTGCATTTTCCAAGGTTTGGGGTTTTCTTTTCCCTTTAAAAAAGCCCAAAAACACCAGCCTGCCTGTGAACAAGGCAGTCACGCAAAAGCCACAGAGCAGCAACAGGACAAACTGTAAGAAGACAACAGAGAAAATGTTTCCTGATGTTACAGAAGGATGTGGGTGTGAGAAATGAATGGGGATCTCCACTGAGGTTCCCATTGCTTCCCCACATTCAGCATTCCCACCAAAATCAGAAGAAAAGCAGTAGAAAAAAATCTTCTCGCCAGCATAAAAAATTCAGTTCTGGAAAGAAAAGGCCCTTTTTGGAGGAAAAAATATCACTGTCTGGAAATTTTGGGGTGGAATCTACTTAAGAGCACTTGAGCAGCTCAGGTCCTGCCGTGTGCCCCATGTCTGCAGCGGGATCGCACAGCTGGGGGCTGGCACGCGGCCGTGCCGACGCACAATTCTGGGATTCAGAGCTGAATTCTTGAGATAAGTTTTTTCCAGGAATGTCTGACAGCGCAAACGAAGTAAAGATTGCAACATTTTTTCCATAGTTCTCAGCTTCTTGAAAAAAAAAAAGGTCATTATCTAACAAGCAAATGCAGAAATCAAAGCAACAAGCAGGCAGTTGTAAAAGATGAAGACGTGGGCATCTGCCCCCAGCCCAGCGTTTCCTCCTCCCTCCCTGTGCTCACTCCCATCAGGACCACTCAGCCCTCGCACACACAGTGGGTTCAAGCTCTGCTGAGAGGAATTTGGGAGGTGGGAGCTCAGCCTCCACCGAGGCCAGCTCCATCCTGTGCCCAAGGTCTGCTAACGTCCCAGGGAACCATGGTCTGACAGTCCTGTCCTGACCCTTTGGGTTGTTTTCTTGCTTATTCCATCACCATGGGATGATCTATAATGTCAGGAGCACGGTCCCAAACCTGCCCCAGTGTTAAACACAAGCAAATCTTGCTGGGATCTGGTTTGAGCAAGTTCAGCTTCTCTTGGGCATCCAAATAACAGTCATTGAAACAAAAGGGTCCCTGTGCGGCAGTACAGCGGGTGAGAGGAGGCTCATCCATCCTTCCCGTGCTGAGACCAAGAGGAGGATCACATCACAACAAACCCCCCCCCGGCAGAGCCCCCATCCACGCCGAACCCATGAGACCCAGCCCGACCGAATCCCACATGTTCTGAGTACTGAGCACCGCTCTGTTACAAAGAGAGAGGAAGAAATAACTGCACTGCAGCAGCCACTGCAATGGGCAGAGGAAAAACTGTCTCTATGTAAAGACCCAGTTCTGCCAAAATTCCCAAACGAGGATTTCTCGCTCTCAGCCCAGAGCAGCCCTTGGCACTCTGCGATTAACCGTTAAGCACCGTCCTTGGCACAGGCACAGAGAAACAAATGTGTAAGGCTTTCTACAAGCCAGTGTAGCACGCACAGCTTGTTTTGAAAGAGATTTAAATGAGAACGGTTTGTGGTATTGGGTATCGGACCGTTTGTGTTTTTGAAAGTAAGCATATTCCTAGCAAACAGCATGTGAGGAACACAGTAAGGATTGAGACAGGGGACAAGCGTGAGCCTCAGAGGTGACCCTGCCACAGCATCCTGGCCCCATGTCCTCACTATTGCTCCAAAAAGTGTATGACCGCAGCTCTCCTGGCAGCGCAGGGACAGTGGGAGCAAGGGCTCAGAGACAGGGAGGGAGGACATGACAGGATGCCACGTGGCATTTTTCTTCTGTCTTTACAAACAGATTTTAAAAGCTTTGTGTAAGCCTAGGAAATACCTTTTGATTGTGTGTTCCCACAGCACCAGTGAGCTCTAGATCCTGCATCCAGAGTCCCACCAGATGAAGACTGGTCCTTAGCAGCACTGCTCCTACACCTGTGCGGTGGGGTGGATGGGGCAGAAGATTTTGCCCAAGCAAAACCCCCTTCTCCTGATGCCAGAGCAGAGCCTTCATATAAATAAGAGCTGGCAGGGAGCTGTTTAAGACTTGAGCACAACACATCTCCACTCAAAGAGCAACCCACTGGGGCACCTTATCAACTCAGCTACTCGACCACACTTTTAGCTGGGGCCATCTTGACTGTAGCCCCTTTAATGTTAAAAAAATCATCACTGGAGAGGACGCAGAGGGAAACCCCTCTTTGAGCAGCTTCTGGGAACAGCACAATAAAGACTCACAACACCCAGGAGGACACTCAGACATGGAGGAAACCATCCCAACTGCATTTTGGATAAACCCCTCTCAACACTGACAACTCCCTGACACATCCTGAAAACACACAGAAAAAGCAGTGCAGGTTTGAAAAGCAAAAGATTTGGGGAGGCTTAGAGCCCTCAGCTCTGGGACTCCAGAGAGGCAATCGCTGCCTTTTATTTCAAAGTGCAAGGTCAGCAGTTTTGGAACACGCGTGAATGGCCATGAAGCAGCCTGCCTACGCTGCAGATAGCCAGCACCAGCCAACTGCTGATGAAGGACATGGCTCCAGAAGGCTCCTCAGCTGGGATGGGGTCCAGCCACTTCCTGGCCAGCCCAGACACCACCAGGCGTCAGCAGAGACCCGCGGCAGTGGCTTCGCTCCCACCCAAACCAGAGCCTGGGCCCAGGCAGGGAAACACGCCGCTGCTTTCACACAATCACAGAATAATCACAGAATGGTGGGGTTGGAAGGGACCTCTGGAGATCATCTAGTCCAACCCCCCTGCCAAAGCAGGTTGACCTCAAGCAGGTTGCACAGGATCGTATCCAGGTGGGTTTTGAATCTCTTCAGAGAAGGAGACTCCACAAACTCTCTGGGCAGCCTGTCCCAGGGCTCTGGCACCCTCACGGTCAAAAAGTTTCAGCCCAGGGAAGATCAGAGGAGAGTGAGCACCAGCATCCACCTGCCCACGTGGGGAACCCACAAGTGTTCTGCTCTCAGCAAGCTGGGGATTTAGGGTGACCTCAATCTCCAAAAACCTCTGACAGTCTCCCACCACTGCGAGCCCCTTTGAGAGCATTCAGTGCTCTCAGTGTGACCGTTTGTTCCCTGCCAAGGCCACGTGGCATCGGTTTGCTCCTGCGCCAGGACCACGTTTCCGGCAAAGTGTGACTGTGCTCCCAGTGACATTGCTATGATTCACAAGTGGTTTCACTGGGGGTTACACTGGGAGAATCTGTTTCCACAGGAAAGCAAAAACCAGGCTAACTAAAAACAAATGCTAGACATTTCCCTTTCTTCTGGGGAAACTGAGGCACAGGCTTGCCTGACTCCCTGAGCACAGATTTCATGTTACTGGTACCACTAGGTGCCGTGGAAACTCTGCATCACAGCATTTTAGCAAGCACTCCTCCCCTGCTGACCTCAGCAAACAGCTCACAGGGTGATGTCACCCAGCGTGACATCAGCCTTCACCAGCTCAGCCCAGAGGCGGCTGCTCAGCCACCCCAGATGTGCAGGTGCCACAGGGGCCATTTCAGCAGCCAGACAAGGCAGGACCTGAGGGCTTGGTACATCCCACACATGCCGCTTGACAGTGAACCACAGGGTGAGGATTGTGCCCAAAACCTCAGCCTCTATGTGGGGGAGGCCCTGCCCCTCCATCTGGGGACACAGCAGAGGAGGCGAGGGGAAGGGGTGGGAAGGAACAGTTTTAGTGGGCTGCAGGGAAAAGCAAGAGGGAATCACAAATAACCTGCCCAGGCAAATCCTCCTTGGTTTCCTAAGTCCAAGGAGGAGAATAAAGTGAGGGGCAGCAGCAGCCCTGACTGCTGGGGAGCACTCACCATTTGTGGATGATGTCAGGCAGTGGAAGACGCTACCAGAGGTGCAGTTCTGCCAGAGGTCTGCCGTGTGCCCACCATTCACCAGCCATTGCTGCAAGAGAGACGCAGCCCCATGAGCCCCCAAGCCATGTGCCCGCCCCATTGGCACTGAGCAGCCCCGGTGCAGCCCCAGTGCGTACCGACACGCGTGAGGCCAGCCGGGCGCTCGCAGGCATGTGCTTTTCTTTAGAAAGGTGTTTGGAAACTAAATACTGGTATTTGCTTTTTGCTGCGTTCACCTCAACGGCAGGAAAACAGCAGCTCTTTAGTTTCTTTAAACATGGACCAAGTCCCGTGGGGATGCACACTTCCCTCCCCCCTGCTGTCCTTGCCTGCTGCCTGGCCGGGATATTTGAATGTTTCCACGTGATTCCTAACGACTCGGAAGATTTTTGTCATGTCTTCTACTACTATTACCACCCAGAAAAAAAGAAAAAAAAAAAAGGGAAAGAAGAATCTGGTGAAGCAAGCCCGGAACTCACCAGCTCCACAAAACTGCTGGCTTAAAACCACGTCAAACCTCTTCCTAAGTAGATGACGTGTTAACTGGGCTCTGGACTGAGAACGGTGCTGGGAACACTCTGTGCAGCATCCAACCCTCAATCTTCCTGCTGCTTGCAAAGCTGAAGCCTTGACAATTGCCAGCAGGAGCCCGTCTGGGTTAGGAGACAGAGGCTGAGCCCAACTCACAGCCCCAAAGGAGCTGGAGAGCAAAACTGCTGGTGCCGAGGAGCCAGTGTCAAGAGGTTTTGCTCAGACTGGCTGTACTGGTCCTGCGGGCTGAAGCCCGTTAGCAGGTGGAGCTCCTTCAGGAAAGGGGAGTGCAGTGTCGCCCCGTAGAGGGTGGTTTGGGTGCTCTGAGGCTGCTCCGTGGTGTGAACCAGCGTGGGGATGATGACGAGATGGGCTCAGCACCACTCTCCTCTGTACTAACGGGGACACCGCTGCGGCACACAACCGAGCGACCCACCAGTCACACCTGATAGCAGAAATAGGGGAAGAGCTGTCTGTGCAAAATGCTCCCAAACGCCACTGTTGGCAAGACCAGCATTGGCAAGTAAAAGTTTACGGCTAAAAGTCAAGCTGGAAAATAAACCACAAATAAAAATGACACCTTCTGGTCGTGTCATGCCATAAATTGCTCCCCACCTCGCCGGTACCCCGGTTCCGGAGGAAGGTCCGTACTTACGCTAACGATGGTGGAGACGAAGAGGAGCACCAGTACGGTGACATGGAGCACGATGATCCCCAGCAGCAAAAGCAGCATCCTGGCGGTGGTGGAGGGCAGAACTGGAGGGGGAGAGGGATGCTTCTGAGTGTGAGTGTGAGTGTGAGTATGAGTATGCGTGCTGGGGCAGCGCCCGGCTCCCGGGTTTCTTCCCTCGGGCCCCGCTGCCGGAGGGGGGGTCCAAACCCTCTGCCCGGACCCACTCCCGGATACCCCCGTGGGGTGCTCCGAGCCCCTCCCCCGAGTTGCTCCCTCAAGCCCGCTCACCGAGGGGACTTCCCCGGCCCTTCTCCCGTGGGGGCCCCTGGGGGGGGGC